AGCATTTTATTAAAAAAAATCTGATTTAAATAAAAAAAATCCCATTTTGTTTTTTTTTTTATTTAAAAAAAAAAAATCATTGATTTTTATCCACCCTGATTGTCTCCCACTATAATGTAAAGCGCTGAGCAAACTGTTGGCACTATATAAATCCTGTATAATAATAATAATAGTTTCTCCACTTTTGCATGAAAACTCAGCAAGTTTCCCTTCATTAATATATCTCAATCGATTGTACAGCTCTAGAATTTTCTTTTGGGCTTCAGTCCCCCTCTTGGAAAATGCGTCACTCTCTGTCATTTCACAGCTAGCATCTCATCAGACTGGCTGTCACTTCCTGGCAGGAAGGACAGTGTCCCAACTCCTTCCAGAAGATGACACCTGGGACTGCCCTGGGCTAAATCAGCAACAAAAGATTCCATTGAATGGTAATTAGCATATACAGTTCATGCGTAACCCATTCATTTTACTACAAAGTCTTAATTCTTTATGTTTGTGTTTTCCAAATTGAAGCCTGCTGGTTTCAGGCACCTGCTTCTTCTTATGGAAAACCCTCGTTTTAACACCTTGGTTAGCTTGTTGCCCTAACAGTTGCAGATGTTGGTTATATGTGTGGCCCATTTATATCCAGCTACTGTCTTTTCTTCTGTTTTATCTTAATTACAGTATGTTAGCCAAAAATGATCTGACTTTGCAATCAGTCCAGTTGTTGCTGAATAGCTTTGTAAATGATTTCAGAATCTGTTGAGGAAAGTATCCTTTTGGTTGCAACTTTATTACAAAAATGGCTGAAGAAGCCATATGTTGTATTTAAGTTCCTCAGTTGCCACAGCAGAGTGCAGATTTTTCATCAAAATACACAAGGCATATGTTGCCCACCCATACATGTAAAAATCTGGCTGCCCAGTTGAGTGGGATTCCCATAGCGTTTCTATTATTGGAAAAATGGTCCCAAAACTATTGAATTGGTTCATACTCAGCAAGCGCATTGCCTCCTTAAAGTGAATCTGTCGGCATTTAACATTTTTAAAGATCCTGTGCAGGGGCCCCGAAGTCAGTGAGGTCAAGCCCTCAAAGAAAGAGTAAAACTTCTTCAGGGCGGTGCACACAAGAAGGTTTTTGGTTAATAAATGTAATGACAAGCAGCTAAGGTCTAAAGTAACAAAAAAAAATCAATTCAAGTATGTATTCGTAACTCAGAAAGTACCTTCTATTGCTCTCGGGCTCCTCCAAATCTCCCTTAAAAAAATAAATTGTGATCTGACGTCCTCTTAAAGGGTAGCTACTTTCATTCTTCATGGTATGGGATGTAGTCACTATCTTTTGCTCACTTCTGAGGTGGACTATGGGATTTTATAATGAATATAGAGCAGTGCACATGACCACAACTAATGTGCACTATTTGTTCCAAACAAACAATTGTGAAAGGGGGGGGGGGGGGGGGGGGGGGGGGGGAGAGAGGTTCAGGACCTAACAGAGGATATTTAAGAAGAAGTCTGAGATAGGCAAAAAAAAATTACCCATTGGTACACCCCCATACACAAATCACTAAACGGTTAATGAAATTGTGAAAATCATTACCATTTAGGACAAAAGTCTAAATTAATTTTCATGACCTCATCTCTGTAATTAAAAAGATAACCACATCTGCTCTGCCAAGGAGAAGGTGTAACAGCCAGAATTACATCATATCGTCTTCTCTCTGCAGTAAAAGGAAACTACAGTTCCCATCAAGCACAGGGAATTGTAGTGAATGTGGGTGGGTACATTAGGCCTGTACATGTTGAATGTGTCTGAGAGTCTTGGTCTGCCCACCACTGCAAATGGGGCTGAATTACATCACTGCTTCTTGGAGAAAGAACTACAGAAGGGATGTGCCAAGATCAGTGGCTGGGTGAATAGACGTAGCAGCCACTGGTCTTACAAACCAGAAACCAAAGAGAATGAACGGTTTGATTTGAAAATGAATAGGCTATTTCAGAGCAACTACTGAGTGAACCAGAAGATAGATAACATATTCAGTGAAGGTAGGAAAGCAGCAACAAGAACATGTAAATATGTTTTTGCCCAGAGTTGTGCTTTAAATGGAGGCAGAAAAATGCCATAAGAAAAAATTGCGAGAAAGATGTATAGATAGATTACAGGGCCACTAGGATGTGTATGGATTATGTATGTAGATATGGATGTGTATGGAGGGCGTGGATGTGTAATGTCACTTGAAAGTGGCTGATGGGTTTGTCTTTATTTACAAATGTTTTCATTACGTGCCAGAGTATGGAGATAATTGGCTCCTAATACTGACACAAATGTTCACTTACATTAGTCAATAAGGTGGAGTTTTGGTTCACTTCAGTTATCCAATCATGAGCAAAAAAAATGTAAGAAGAAAAAAAAAAAAAAGTTCTTTAATGGAGAAGTATAGCCAAAACTCTTTTGGCTATATGTCTGGCGATCACAAGAGTGCAGTTCCTTCAGAGGGGCAGAGCAGGGAGCCGGAGACTGACAGTCACCAGCTCTCTGCTCATGAAACACTGAGAACTGAGTGATCAGCTGTCTTTCATTGCTCAGTTCTCAGTCCTAGTCTAGGTTCACACCTATGAGTTTTTCTGCTTTGCAGAAACGCACTACAGTCCATTTAACATGATTTCCTATGGGACAGGTTCACATCTCTGCGTGTTCACCCAATGCATTTTTTTTTGGAAAGGGTCAGGGATTTTTTAAAATGCAAAACGTTGCGTTTTTGGTTCTATAGACTTCAATGGAGACGCTGCAGAAAAGCATGTAGTGATTTTTTTATGCGTTTTGCATTTTATCCTGCCCAGCAAAAAGTTAGAAAAGAAAAAAAAACCCCGCAAAACTCATCAAGAATGCATGTGCAAAAAACGCACTGCAGAAATGGATCAAATTCATACTGCATAGGTGTAAACCTAGTCTTGGAGCTGGTCGGGGACAGATTCAGCATCCGATCCCCTGCAATCCTTCAGGTCACTGTCTACAGGTATTAGGGGAAGTTCAGCTGGAATGCACACTATGGGGCACATTTATAAAGCAGTGAATCTGACGTTTACCAAACATTCACAGCAAGTGCATCTTCCAGGTCCATGTGTTTTAAATGAATGATTAATTCCCCACCAAAGAATGTTTGGTGAAAGTCATACTTTATAAATAGACCTCTATGTATTATCAATTTTACAGTTATAGTGTATTATCCCTTAAAAAGTTGGATGTTCAGAACCACTTATTTCAAACGTTACATGAATGTTTTTTAGTTATTGCACATAGATGACTGTTGTCACTTTCTGCTTCTTAACCCCTACTCTCTAGCTTTTCTCAAACTTTTTACCTCCGTGAAACCTCTGCATCTTAACCCCTACACCAGCCTTTCTTTACCTAAAATAAATTTCAGGTCTTGTTTGTATCATGATGCTGTTTTTGCCGTTGGCTCTATAACTATCCAGACACCATCAGATGAGAGGTAAGCTGCATCTCATGGAACTCCTAGCAACCTCTAAAACAGTGGTCTCCAAACTGCGGCCCTGGGGCCAGATGTGGCCCTTTGCTTACTTTTATCCGGCCCTTAGGGCACGATTTCATCCACTGATACCAACAATGGGCCAATATTCCCCCTGCTGACTTCAATGACAGGGAACAATTTCTCTCAAAACACTAACAATGGGCCATTATTCCCCCCACCACCACCACCTCCTGGCACCAATGATGGGAAACAATTCCTTCCAATGACACAAATGCTAGGGCACTGTTCTTTCCATGGACACCAAAGATGGGGCATTTTTTTTCCACTGACGTTGGGACCTTTTTGACTCCCATTGGCCACAGTCCAGCCCCCATAAAGTCTGAAGGACTGTAAACTGGTCCTTTGTTTAGAAAGTTTGGAGACCCCTGCTCTAGAAGAACCCTAGGGTTCCATGGAACCCTGGTTTAGAATATCTGCCCTACACATTTATCAACTGATTTGTTGCTTGGAACCATCCCTAGTGGAACCTGCAAAGTGCCTGATTGGGTTTAGCCCATAAGTGTCTCTTCTCTTCCACTATGGGCAGTAGCTGTACCAAGGATGAGAAGAAAGGTTGAGGATTGAATGAAATCATAGAAGAAATACTCTTGGGAAGTGCCTCTCCGTGTGCAGTCTGTCATTAGCATCACAAGACAGAGTGGACACATGTCCTCTTAACCCAATCTAAATCTGCAAATGGGTGTTTCTTATGCTAATACCTATTCTTCAGGGGCAGGTATGACACAGATTGTTTGGACTAGTTAAACTATTTACTATACAGCAGTGACCAGGGACTGGAATCAGAGCATCCTACTTGGCATTTATTAGTCTACTCTGGCAGCAGTAGGGAGTCTTGGGTTAGCTCTCATTCACCCTTTTGGATGATGGTTTGTTGAACAATTGTGTCGCTTTATCTGACAAATTTCAGCTAAAACTATCAGTTATCGGTGATGATGATTAATGGTGAGTGAATTAATTCTGAAATCTGGCTATTTAACGTTATTGTAAGATTTTTAATTCATGTGAATATTTGCATATTCGTCTGTCTAATCTGTCTAATGGAGAATCGTATCATTTTTTTTATTCATGATCACCTGGAATCCCTCAGGTCAGGCAAATCTGTGTGCAAATTGTCAGGTGAAACAAACTTTTGAGAAGCGCTGATTCTTTTGTTTTTTGAACTTTGTATAGGAAACAGCTGGTGCTCTTCAGGATGGATAGGATGGATGGTTTCACTGTGATATAATGCAGACCACAGAGATAAGTCAGAGAGAGACAAGGAAGATATAATTTATATGTAGAACTTTTACTTGTAATCTTAGGAAAAAATGACTGTGCTAGGATAAAGAAAATTGGTTCTGTTTTCATTTTCCTGTTTTTAATTTCCTTGTGTCCCTTACTGGGATTTAACTTTTGTGGACAATAAAATGCCACCATCTGAAATCAAGATTTAAATGCAATGAAGTGCTTCAATTTAACTTAAATTCTTTTTGTCTTGTTTTTCCCAGAATCCCCCAGGCTGTCGGCAGGCTCTTCCAGCAGCAATGAAAAGTTCTCAAGCTCTCCCTCTTACTCCACAGACATTTATGATTCGGACCGACCTGTAAGCCTCATCTCTACAGCATCTTCTGGCTCCCTTCGTGAGAGCCGTGATCTCTATGAACATATCAGACCAGCAGAAGACGAGCCATTGGGTAACACTCCAACTGGTCTGGACATGGAGCTAGTGTCTGGAGACACCCTGCACACCACTTTCCGGGATATTCAAAGTGGATTAAAAAATTCCCACACTGTAAACGGCAACAATAATGTTAACCGACGAAGCCGTGGTTCTAGGTCTCTTTCTCCATTCGGGACCAAAGTTAGTGGGATTTCTAACAAACTCACTTATGTGGAACGCGTGGTTCTGGAAATTATAGATACTGAGAGGATGTACGTCCAGGATCTACGCAGTATTGTGGAGGTATGCAACAGTCCATTTACACTGGTATCATGGGCATTTCTATACTGCTGTGTGGCAGCAAAGTGGAATGCTTCAGCCCAGAACGTTTTAGGGTGGGTTTGGGTAAAGTGTGGCAAACTCTTTCCAGGTTTTTAATCAGAATTTTGAGCTTAATTTTCCTTAACAGTCAGGACTTTTTATCTTTGAGGAGTGGATTCTTGAGTGGCTAGAAATGCAGAGGTTCTGACAGCATGCATTATGGGGTATTCTGAAAGCATGCATTGAGTGCTCTGTAAGCATGCACCATGGGGTGTTCTGAAGGTATGAATCATGGGCAAGCATCATGGGATGTTCTGAAGGCATGCGTCATGGGATGTTCTTAAGACATGCGTTATGGGATGTTCTGAAGGCATGCGTCATGGGATGTTTTGAAGGCATGCATCATGGGACGTTGTGCAGGCATGCGTCATGGGACGTTGTGAAGGCATGCATCATGGGGTGTTCTGAAGGCATACGTCATGGGACGTTTGAAGGCACGTGTCGTGGGCATGCATTATGGGATGTTCTAAAGGCATGCATCATGGGGTGTGTTCTGAAAGCCTGCATCATGGGTTGCTCTGAAGGAATGCGTTATGGGGTGTTTTGAAAGCATGCCACATGCCTCAACTGCCTATTTTTCCACCTTTCGGCCACCAATGTATTAAAGGGCAGTCAGCTTGATCCTGAGATCTTGATTTAGAACAAATATGCAGACTAGGAATTTTGACTTTAATTTTAATTTATTAACCTACTTGCTAGTTCCAGAGTCATTCAGTACAGTCAGAGACTCGGGCAAATAGCATTTTCAGGTCAGCAGTAGCTCTGTATTTCTCTGTGAGGTTTCCTTTTTAATTGCAGCAAAGCTAAAGTATTCCAATATAGTTTAGCAGTCTTGTCCTAGACAATGAGATAATGACTTCCCTCTAGAATGCTTATAGAGTGGACATAAACAGGAGAGAGAAGGCAGGAGAGTTCTGATAGTGAAGTATTTCCAATGCAAAAATAATGAGTTCAGTCTGGGAAAACAGGAGTTGAAAAGGTAACAAAAACTGTATATCAATTGGGCGGACAATAGAATGACAAAACTGATGTGTGCGATCTATGAAATACTGATGTAAAGAATGCCTGTCTCCATGCAGGCCTGTGGGAGAGGAATGGTCACGCTCAGATGCTCTGAGTATTTCCAGGTCCTGTCTAGGTGAAATTGGTGGAATGATTAGAGAAACAGAAAAAAAAAAAATCTGTCTACAGGCAGAAATGCCCAGGTCACAAAAAATAGTTGCAGCAGGTCATTCATTTCATAAAGGGTCGATATTTATTAAATGCCAATTAACATGTTTTATGGCTTACTGCCACCTCAGATATTTGGTTTGACAGCAGTGTAAAATGTAAAGCATGTATATAAAATGTACTGTATGTAACAATGAGGGGAAAGGGATAGAATTAAGGAAAAAAAAATGTTAATTATGTGGGAGCTAGTAAACATTTTAGGTTGAAAATAATATCCAGTTGCATTCCAGTCATAACCTAATGCTAAGCCTACTTCCATCCCCATTCTAAGACTATTCTATCTAACCCTGTAAAGCAGCGGTTCTCAACCACAGGGGTCGCCTAAGACCATCGGAAAACACATATTTCCGATGGTCTTAGGAACCGAGACACCGATCCTCGCCGCCGCCACCGCCGTCTCCAGGTGTGGGCGGGATGACATGCCGCCCCTGTCATCTGGACACACCTCGAGATCAATCCTCGCCTGTGATTGGCCGCCGGCACTGTAGCTCAGGAGAGGCACACAGGCGGCCAATCACCGGCAAAGAGGTGGAGCTTGGAGAGGAGGAGCCGAGCGGCACCGCGAAGATCGAGCGAGTGAAGAGGAGGAGAGCGGCTGGAGAAGGAAGACATCTGACAGGTAAGTGTTGGTACCATGGGAGAGGGAGGGAGCGAGCGAGCCCAGGCTGGAGCAGGGGTCTGCAAGGTAAGTATCATTGGTGTCAGTGGGAATAGTGCCCCATCATTGGTGTCACTAATACCAATGATGGGGCACTATTCCTCCCACTGACACCAACGATGGGACACTATTCCTCCCACTGACACCAACGATGGGGCACTATTCCTCCCACTGACACCAACGATGGGGCACTATTCCTCCCACTGACACCAACGATGGGACACTATTCCTCCCACTGACACCAACGATGGGGCACTATTCCTCCCACTGACACCAACGATGGGACACTATTCCTCCCACTGACACCAACGATGGGGCACTATTCCTCCCACTGACACCAACGATGGGACACTATTCCTCCCACTGACACCAACGATGGGGCACTATTCCTCCCACTGACACCAACGATGGGACACGATTCCTCCCACTGACACCAACGATGGGGCACGATTCCTCCCACTGACACCAACGATGGGACACTATTCCCCCCACTGACACCAACGATGAGGCACGATTCCTCCCCCAAATGACACCAACGATGGGGCACGATTCCTCCCCCCACTGACACCAACGATGGGGCACAATTCCTCCCCCCACTGACACCAAGGATGGGGCAGTATTCCTCCCCCCACTGACACCAAGGATGGGGCAGTATTCCTCCCCCCACTGACACCAAGGATGGGGCAGTATTCCTCCCCCCACTGACACCAAGGATGGGGCAGTATTCCTCCCCCCACTGACACCAAGGATGGGGCAGTATTCCTCCCCCCACTGACACCAAGGATGGGGCACTATTCCTCCCCCCACTGACACCAAGGATGGGGCACTATTCCTCCCCCCACTGACACCAAGGATGGGGCACTATTCCTCCTCCCACTGACACCAAGGATGGGGCACTATTCCTCCTCCCACTTATACCAATGATGGGGCACTATTCCTCCCACTGACACCAATGATGGGGCACTATTCCTCCCACTGATACCAATGATGGGGCACTATTCCTTCCACTGATACCAATGATGGGGCACTATTCCTCCCACTGACACCAATGATGGGGCACTATTCCTCCCACTGATACCAATGATGGGGCACTATTCCTCCCACTGACACCAAGGATGGGGCACTATTCCTCCCCCCACTGACACCAAGGATGGGGCACTATTCCTCCCCCCACTGACACCAAGGATGGGGCACTATTCCTCCCCCCACTGACACCAAGGATGGGGCACTATTCCTCCCCCCACTGACACCAAGGATGGGGCACTATTCCTCCCCCCACTGACACCAAGGATGGGGCACTATTCCTCCTCCCACTTATACCAATGATGGGGCACTATTCCTCCCACTGATACCAATGATGGGGCACTATTCCTCCCACTGATACCAATGATGGGGCACTATTCCTCCCACTGATACCAATGATGGGACACTATTCCTCCCACTGATACCAATGATGGGGCACTATTCCTCCCACTGATACCAATGATGGGACACTATTCCTCCCACTGATACCAATGATGGGGCACTATTCCTCCCACTGATACCAATGATGGGACACTATTCCTCCCACTGATACCAATGATGGGGCACTATTCCTCCCACTGATACCAATGATGGGACACTATTCCTCCCACTGATACCAATGATGGGACACTATTCCTCCCACTGATACCAATGATGGGACACTATTCCTCCCACTGATACCAATGATGGGGCACTATTCCTCCCACTGATACCAATGATGGGACACTATTCCTCCCACTGATACCAATGATGGGGCACTATTCCTCCCACTGACACCAATGATGGGGCACTATTCCTCCCACTGATACCAATGATGGGACACTATTCCTCCCACTGATACCAATGATGGGACACTATTCCTCCCACTGATACCAATGATGGGGCACTATTCCTCCCACTGATACCAATGATGGGACACTATTCCTCCCACTGATACCTATGATGGGGCACTATTCCTCCCACTGATACCAATGATGGGGCACTATTCCTCCCACTGACACCAATGATGGGGCACTATTCCTCCCACTGACACCAACGATGGGACACTATTCCCCCCACTGACACCAACGATGGGGCACGATTCCTCCCCCCACTGACACCAAGGATGGGGCAGGATTCCTCCCCCCACTGACACCAAGGATGGGGCAGTATTCCTCCCCCCACTGACACCAAGGATGGGGCAGTATTCCTCCCCCCACTGACACCAAGGATGGGGCAGTATTCCTCCCCCCACTGACACCAAGGATGGGGCAGTATTCCTCCCCCCACTGACACCAAGGATGGGGCAGTATTCCTCCCCCCACTGACACCAAGGATGGGGCAGTATTCCTCCCCCCACTGACACCAAGGATGGGGCAGTATTCCTCCCCCCACTGACACCAAGGATGGGGCAGTATTCCTCCCCCCACTGACACCAAGGATGGGGCAGTATTCCTCCCCCCACTGACACCAAGGATGGGGCAGTATTCCTCCCCCCACTGACACCAAGGATGGGGCAGTATTCCTCCCCCCACTGACACCAAGGATGGGGCAGTATTCCTCCCCCCACTGACACCAAGGATGGGGCACTATTCCTCCCCCCACTGACACCAAGGATGGGGCACTATTCCTCCCCCCCACTGACACCAGGATGGGGCACTATTCCTCCCCCCACTGACACCAAGGATGGGGCACTATTCCTCCCCCCACTGACACCAAGGATGGGGCACTATTCCTCCCCCCACTGACACCAACTGACATGGGGCACTATTCCTCCCCCCACTGACACCAAGGATGGGGCACTATTCCTCCCCCCACTGACACCAAGGATGGGGCAGTATTCCTCCCCCCACTGACACCAAGGATGGGGCAGTATTCCTCCCCCCACTGACACCAAGGATGGGGCACTATTCCTCCCCCCACTGACACCAAGGATGGGGCACTATTCCTCCCCCCACTGACACCAAGGATGGGGCACTATTCCTCCCCCCACTGACACCAAGGATGGGGACACTATTCCTCCCACTGACAC